GGACGGAGTATCACGTTTAGTGCGGTTATGTGACGGAATTCGAGGATCCCGCTTAAAAATGCCAATTTTCTCGTTCTGTCTATTAATAGGGTGTTTGGTACATAACCCTAAAAACATTTTTGGGTTATGGGACGCTATTTGTTGATTTTTAGTGAAAACCATAATGCTGTAAGAGCTTCGGTTACCGAAATATAGATTTTTTTTCGATATTATGCTTTACTTGTTTGTCGAGATAGTAACACAAAATAAATTGTACCGATTGAATGAACAAATTTACATACGAAATTCGATTAAAAAAATTATGTGGTTTATTACCTTTCCAACCATCTACTAGATATCGTTGAAGTAATTTGTTATACGGTCAAAATAGGTTGGTTAAGGCAAGGTATTTTATTAAGTCTGTCACGTGTTTATTCAATTTGAATCAGTTATGAATGAGTTTCGAAGCGACTGCCTGTATTTGATGAGAATGATGAAGGTAGTCCTTGCAAAGCAATAAACAAGTAGGCTTAGGAAGTCGATTTAAGTACATCTCATGTCTATCATAATACGCACTATGGTATTAATGGCCAAGGTTTAGAACACATGTAACCTTTGATTGGGAAAGTAAACAACTTAGAATTGATTTAAAACTACTCGTAGTTGTTGCAAGTGTTATAAGCCTTGACAGCCTACCACACTTAAATTAATTAGTGCATATAGCGACACACTAAGCTTAAAGGTGGGATCTACGCAACTGCCAAAATCAAAATACACAACGTCAAGGTTAAATTGACTAACAAGTCTAGAACCATGCTGTAGTGAGTCATCAGGCAGTCTGGACTAAGAATAATCAGTCATATCAGATGCAGGCAAAAGTGTAAATCTCATTTACAGATGTTTAGTTTCATTAGAAAGGACACAAAGGCCTTCGTAGGCCTCCTAAGAGGGCACTATCGCAAAAAAGAACATGGGCGCAGCAAAAGGGGAAAACTGCTGATTCTGTAGAAAGCACGAGAAAACCCTTTCTGAAACGATGACCTGGAGGATGACAGTATAACCACTGACGGGAACATTGTCTACGTCATGTAAAATACACCACTGTCTACATGTCTAGATTTTGACTTTCATGTAGACAATGTAAGCAAAGTAGACAATACACGTAATACAGGTATCGGATTACACCCTACATGTTTATTGCTTTGCAATTACTACGCCAATTATTCTCATTAAGTGGAAGCAGTCACTTTGATCATAGTTCGTAGCTACCCCAATATTTTATATACATATATAAATTATACAAAAAGGTGAAAACTTGAAAAACGAGACACGAAGTGCTTACATGGAGACAAAGTTGCATATTTGGGCAACTAACAAGATGGCGCTTAGAAAAATTACTTCCGGAGAGAGATGTAAAGAACAGAACTTTCCCAAAATCGTTTTATTTTTTTCTGACTTCATTTGTTGTGGGAATTCAAAATAAATTGCACACTAACATTGCCATTTTTTCTTCTCTATAAGATCGTAAAATTAGAATTTCAGTATGTTTTGTCTCTTGTCCTCCAGCATCAACTTTATTTTTTCAAATAGACGTTATAATGGATTTTTTCATAGACGAATAGAGATTTTAATTCGGATTCCAAAAATATATAATTTGCCATGCATGGATATTGCTAGGCCCTAGTTATTTAAAAAAAAGAACTTCCGAGGTAGGCCTTGGAATTATCAGATTGTCATTTGCTTCGTATACCGTATTTATTGAAAAATCCTTGTTTATTTCCTGATTTTATTCGAAATGGAATTTTAAAATAAATTGCAAATTATCATTGCCACTCTTTCTTGTTTACAAGAGGGCGTAGCCAAATTCTCAATTAAAGGTTTCTGCTTTCAACCTCCATCCTCAAGTTTGTTTCTTTTCTTATGGACTTTTTTGCGCAATCGAACACAATTGACTGGTTCTGCATTTAGTTATTAATATAGTACATTTATTTATGTCTCTATAAAATTTAACTAAAGTAATATTATTTTTAGTATTTTTGAATGTATAAAATTTTAATATAGCGTCCATATGATAAAAACAAAGTTTGTGATGGAAGCCGAAAAACGAGACCTCGAAATGAAAATTTTGTAGAGGAGAAAAAGCGACAATGACAATTTGTGACATTTTGTGATAAACCTGATACACGAAACAAATTACTATCTGAAAATTTCAAGGCCTACCTAGGAAATTACATTTTTTTAAATAACTGAGGTTTATATATTTGGAATTAGAATGAAAAATTCTATTTGTCTGTGCAAAAATCCAATTTGGCGTCATAAGAAAAAATAAAGTTGATGCTGGAGGATGATAGACAAAACGTTATATTGAAATTCCAATCTTATAGAGGAGTAACAATGGCAACTTTAATGTGCAATTTACTTTTAAATCACACTACAAATAAATTGAATAAAAATCTAAAACGATTATGGGAAAACGAAAACTGTTTTCTCCATCTCTCGCCGGAAGTACTATATTTTTGAAATTTTCTAAGCAGCACTTTGTTAGTTATCTAAATATGCAACATTGTCCATCCAAAAGACTTCGTATCTCTTACTGTTGCCGAGGTCCCAATGGTGAAGGTCGAATTTGAAACACCCGGTATATCGTGAGAAAGGTAGCAACCACAAAACTTTTATACATGAAGCTAAGTTTCAGTTTCAAGAAAGGTATTGTTTTCTGTAATCGAATGTCGAACTACAAATTTTTTTATTCACTTCGCACAATTTTACGCCCTTTCGAAGGTCATAAATTACTTTTCCACGCCATTTGTGTGAACTACTTATTTGCTCTGATAAACCATCCATCACAGAGCTTGACCACGTTTATTTTGTGATATTATCTCGACATTTAAAAAAAATGTAACAATATTTATGTGCAAGTTCAGCATAAAAACGAAAAACAAATTAGATCTCGGCCCTTAGAACATTACAAAACAGCGTCCCAATTGCTGAAAAAATGTCGGTTCATGTAGCGAGAATCCTAAAATTTTATTTGAAAATTTCGATAAAACGCAGAAGTATTTAAGTATATCCGAATATGTAGCAAAAAATATAGACATCTCTATAAAACTAACTTTGATATACTACGCAGAGATGGTACACGCTGTATGATCCTGAACATTTTTCACAAAGTTTGTGTCTCTAATCAATATTCTATCCACGCAACTTTGGGCCACCCTGCACACGTGGTAGAGTTGCAGTGTTTGTGACTCGACCAGTATAATCTAAATCATATTAGAGGAAAATAGCCCTGGTTTGCGAAATAATTGTAAAGTCTGGTTTCATTTATGCAAGTTGTTCAAGGGGGTATTTGAAACATGGACGCATAAAATGGGTACATCAATTTTTGTGGGAAAACTTTTTATTCGACAACAAAGAATGCGAAAACCCGTTTTTTGGGATTCAATCGAAAGTGTTGGCAGGAACGAAAAGACACTTCAAATAAGATTTTTAGGTATTTATGAGACCTACAAAATGAGACAACACTTAAAAAGATCCGACTAATAGTAAAAAAGTTATGGCTGAAAACCGAGGCAAAATGTAGGTTTTGGCACAAAATTGGAGTCGATTGGTCTAGTAGTTTTTGAGAATTTCTAATTGTTTGTTTACGGCCAACTAATAGTTATCTTAGTCAGACAGGGTGTTCCCAAATTGAATGTCAATATTGAAGGAGGCGATTCTTGGGTCCATTTCCAAAAGAAAACTGTATGAACGTATGTCCTACGTGGCAGTTTTCAAAAATAAATCATACCACTAACTTTTCTTAAAATGAAAAATATTGAAATCTGTATTCATTCATCAGCAGCTTTTTTATCACTTGATTTTCTTATGATGATATTGTCATATTAACAACATGGTTACGATCATGCAGAGAAACGGTTATTTTTAAAGCGAATACCGTGCATCGGATTGAAAAAAGAAGTGATAAAATTTGCATAAACATCAGTAGCGCATCTCAATGTCCCAAGATTGTCACAAAGGTAACTGACAGAAAATTAAATTATTTCTTTCCCTTAGCAACAAACAGGTATAACAATAAATACAATTCGCCCAGGATGTGTTGATGAGAAGACTGAGGAAAAAAATTCGGGTTGTTGCCACGGCTAATCTTCCGAATTGCTGTTTATGTTGGTAGAAGTAGTTTCCGTTTTGAATTATAAACGAATTGTAGATTTGGCAAACCCTAAAGGGCAGCATTTTGAACACTTATTGAAATAAAAAGTGATATTTTCGTGTGTTTTTGTTTTCTATCTGAACAAATTAAGATAAATGAAGGCAAGGGGGTGAAGTTGTTTTTGGTTAAAAAGTTGTCCCCCTTGACAAATCCTTTGACACGTCTTGGCGTTTTTTCTTTTAATCAGTGGTTTCCGATAAATCTGAGGTGGCAAATTTTCAAATGACCACCCTGTATATATGTTTAGAACATACCTTCATATGCAGTTTTCTTTTTAAAATGGTCCCAAAAATCGCCCCCTTAGATATTGAAATTAGGAATTAGGAATTATACAAGCTATCGTTTAAGGCCCGATTTTTCAATCGCGGCGGAACATTCACGTTGAGCAACTCTAAACTAGGAGTTAACCGTTGCCGCAAATTCATTGTTTATGTTCTGGTTAACCAAAAGCATTCTTGTTTAGTGCGGCAGTAGAGCTGATACATCTATGGTATCGTGTTTTATGCGCATTGTGATTTCTGGCTTTTGTGTCTTGTCATCCACTACAAAATCGTCTTGCTGTCAAGCAAAATAAGTTAGACTGTTTAACTACGAGCTTCAATTTTAGCCATACATACTATATCTCCCTATTTAAAGTTAACTACAGTTAACTTCCATTTAATGGTAAAGTAATAAAAAGGCCCGTTGTAAAATGGGGGTAGCCTCTATTCACAAAATAACAGAAGATAGTACGATTAGCAGATTCTTCTCCCTCCACAATTCACAGAGAACAGTCAGAAATCTAGTAGATATTTATCTCGATTTTCAGATCAGCATATGGTCTTCAGCAATCTCTTGGACTGAGTGCCGCTACTCTGATCCCATGCGACTTGGCAAACATAGAAGATCAACATCCCTCTTACGACGCCCATAAATATTAGAATATCCTCACATCAGTTGGGCCGATGATTGAATCCAGTAAAAGCGTTTTGAGTTGAACGATTTTCCTTGAACCAATGCACCAAATACAATCCGTAGCACACATTGAAAAACGCAGATAACTCAGCCATCCAACATTTTTATTTCGCGTCCTAACCTATAGACTGTTCAATATATATGATTAAATTATAAAATTGAGCTTTATTGCATCGTCCTCAACTACGTTTATGTTATGTATGTTCACTGGTGGATGCAGGCAAGGGCGTAGAGAAAGTATTTTATTGTGGTAGCACACTAGGCTGGATATTAATTTTTTTATAACTGCCAAGCAGTAACTGCTCACTGGATTTGAAGTCAATATGAAAATATGTTCTCTAACTTTCAAAAGTGTTTAACCTTAATGTCAGCTCGTCTCTCCATGCGCTTCAAAAACATATTATTTAAGCTGTGAAATTTGCCACACAGTGGATTCGCGATATAGTGAGCATGAAGTATAGTGAACTACTCTAGTTAGATCACAGCAGTTTTGTTAGCAGGTCATTACGAGTAAGGTATAGCAAAAAAAGGAAACATCCCAAACTTCGTTTTTCGACAGTTTCCAACTTCCTGATCACGCGTGATAAAAAAAATTAATGGTAGATTATAGATATTCTTGCTTGGTGAATCTCTTCAACCACATGATACAGTAGTACAATTTGTTATGCAATGCAAATGTTCTTGTGAGGCGTCATATAATGATTGAAGTGTAACGCGTGAGAAGTAGTCTTCTGCATTTTTGTATCAAGGCCAATATTTTTCAATCTGAGAGGTTCCTTTATCAAAGCTTAGATTTTTGCAGAAATTCTTATCATTACTACCGCCATAGGACACCTTATGATCTGCATTTGAAATATGTTTCTGTGATGTTTCGTGATATTGACATGTATATCGCGAAAAACCATTTCCGTCGGTCTGTCTGTAAGTGCGCGTTTTGATGAAATTTTGAAACATTGCCATAGATGAAAAAGCTTTGTAGTTTTGAAAATCGATCTAGTGGCGGCGGAGCTACCAGCAGCCGTTTCAGAAACTCCTGCTCATGTTTGGGTACGAACTGGGAGTGAAGGGTTGCAGTCAGTGGGATAGGGTGTAAGTATTTCAGTTTTTTGTCAGTATATTTACGCTTCGAACCCCGGTAACTCTACATAACTATGATAGTGTGCTTATTTCACACATAGATTGCCCTATACATTTACCCTTGAATATTTTGATTACTCGCATCGAACGCAACGAAGATATAAGATAAACCTGCAGGGAACTGGCCGCTGCCGTTGTCGAGGTTGCGATTCTGTAATCGAGAGTAAGGGATGATTAGCTGTCACAGGGTCTTCAACGTTGCAAACATTGCTATGGTACGATTTTGTCTAATATTTTTTTTATACTCCAACTACCACGAAGGCTAAGCACCCATTGGGTACCGTGGGGCTATAGGGGGATACATGGGAAAGGGGGGGGGGGGACGCCACACGGACTCTGGCGAGGGAACACGTGTGTATGCAACATGCACACATTCTGGCTCCGCCTACGAGAACCGCCGGGTGGTACCTCCGCGTTCGACAGTCAGAGACCATCTACCACCTACGGACAATCACAACATCCATAGTCAAGAGAAAAATTTCTCATGGGACAAGACTCGAACCCGCACAGCGCACGGCGACGGATCAGGAGACCGAAGAGTCTACTACTGCGGCCACCGCTGCTGCCTCTGGCTCCGCCTACGAGATCCGCCGGGTGGTACCTCCGCGTTCGACAGTCAGAGACCGTCTACCACCTACGGACAATCACAACATTCATAGCCAAGAGAATAATTTCTCCTGGGACGGGACTCGAACCCGCACAGCGCACGGCGACTGATCAGGAGACCGAAGAGTCTACTACTGCGGCCACCGCTGCTGCCTGCATATAATCGCTTTAAAAACAATAACGATAAATGATAGTGAACAATAGTTAGCTTACAATGTTCGCAGTACCATGGTTTAATGTAACAATTTCCAACGTTATAGCGGTATCAAAGAATCGTAGCTTCAACTTTTCTCTACGAGCGGCTAATTTGAGCCGATCACAATCTTTTATGAACTGATGTCAGCGTTGCGTGCGAAGTGCCGAGTCAAACTACTTGATGACACTTTTTGTCCATAGAAATTAAAAGATTATTTTGTCCAATGTATAAACGAGTCAAGTCACATGAAGAAAAATGTCGTAAAATCATTTTTGATGCAAATTTTTTTGTTACTGAAAATTTTCATATTTGTTGTCAATTGCAGATAATACTGCTGCATTATATTTTAACTATACCAATCTGTAAATAAAAAAATAAATGAGCTTTGAGGGAAAGAATAATGGACTTGACTGGTTTATGAGAAGTATTTTTTAAGGGTTAAAATAAAAATAAAACAAACTTTGACCTTACAAATGTTATTTTTTGTCAAGTTACTGAATGAAATAAACTAATACTTGGTTTGATTCAATTTTTGGTACAAAGTTATTTATTCATCTTCACTGAATTCTGATGCCAGAGTTTCCTTAACATCTAGGGAAAAGCTCTGATGGTTTTTCTGATTTCTTCATAGAACTACTGATCACAATGTGGTACATAGTATTTAGCAAAAGTCATAACGTGATGAAATTTATTTTTCTTTAGCTTTCTTCTTTCAGTGTTTGGTAGAGTCAGGGGCAGCACATCCCTCTCATCTCGGGTTTCAAAAATATTAAACTGATACAAAGATACTACATTTAAATACTTTATTATCTAGTTTTTCATAGCGCATGATTCGATATTTTGAGATCATAAATTTTATTGTTCTTCCTTGAAAGATTCTTTACAAGAAACATCCATTAAAGTCCAGGACTTGACTGGTTAATGCAAAGTGTAAAAGCGTAGGCCAATTATACACTTCAGTTTCCACAATTTAAATGTTACAGAGCTGATTTATGCTCAGGAAAGTTTCATAGCTTAAAACTGTCCAAGAATATAAACCCAACTCATTTTGCCTAAAAAATGAACTTGTTTACATGTTTATGCATTGGATCCCTCAATACGTGCAAACATGGGCGTAGATCCGAAAAACCTAACACGACAGGATGGATTTGTGCTCTGTTCTGTTATTTTTGTTTTTCATTCCAAATATTTTATTATACTAGCATTTAATATTTACATCCTTTCGCAATATTTATTTATACAAATTCCGTTTCAAATTTCCAGGGATTACTATATGTTTTGTCGACAGAAATTCTGTTTTGCCCGCGTCGATTGTTGCTTGTACAAATTTCTGTTTACATCAATTAATAATAACATACATATATTTATAGAATACTATTTGATGTTTTACAATGGAACTTTTATAAACAATAATATATGAGGTTTGTAAAGTATATGTAATGACCATATCAGGAAACTTGACATAAAGCCAGTATTACTTACCACTACCACTAACATCATGTCATGTCATGTCATGTCAAGACTTTGTCAATTCGCAGATATATGTCGAAGTTATTGTGGGACGTTGATATAGATCACAAAAGCATTCTCTGGAAATAAATTCACATAATCCGGTAAATTTCGTCCAAAAAGTAGGGTGAAAATTTGGTATGAATGTTGGGAACACCGTTATAAATGAAATGTGAGAAGTCCCCATCGATCCCATATGTGCAGAAAACATCAAGGTCAAAGTTGCAAATACATGTTTTTCAGTTTTACAGCTAAAGCGGGAAATTCTATAACTTAGCTACACCAGCATTTTTTTTATTCTTCTTCCGCATAGGCAATAGGTTTGGATTGTAAATGATGGAAATGAGATTAAAAATGCCCGCAAATATGTTAGTTGCAGAATATTGTTGATATTATCTGGGTTTTAAATAGTATAAACACCTTCTTAATCACGACATTTGCAGAATGGAACGGTCCAATACATTACGCGATGTTTCCACATTGGAGAAATATAAAGAAATTAACGAAAATACGCATTTTCACGCGTAGTGCAGCTCTTCTTTTAATCTAGAATTTGCTCCCCCTTGAGTCGCGGCGCCGTTAGTGCATTAGACTTTATGTAGGGTTGTGTGGAGTTCAGATGCATACATACAAATTTAATTATTAAGAATATCCATCAACACGAAAACCTATGAAGTAATGACATCTGGCAACATGGCACAGTCTTTGAAAACAAACATTCAATAAAAACCTAATATATAGTAAAATATTTCAGAACTTTCGTGTTTGCGGTCATTTTCGGTCCTATTTCTTTCATCTACACCCAAAAATTAGGGGCTAAAATCATGTCTTCATCAAAAACGGCTGGTGTAGTTAAGGTAGAGAATTAGCAAAAAATGATTCGTTTATCTCTTTTATTCCTTCATCTTTTTCTTCTCTTTCCCTTCTTTATTATTGTTCTTCTTGTTCCTGCTGGATACATATAATTTGTTCTAACATCGAGGCATTAGATGACTCTTCGTTGAAATTGTGAGAATCCTCTTCTCTTGGGGATTCAACTTGTACTATACAGTCCAATTTTTTTAAGGTAATTTTTAGAGCTCCGGATAGGGAAAGAAGGAAGCGCTTTCCGTTAGTGATTACAGCTTGTGGAGTTATTCTCTCTAAAAGCTTGAGAACAACTAACTAAATCTTGTTTTTCAAACAACTTGAACAGTTGTGTTACACCTTCTAAAAATTGCTGATGTATCACAGACAATTATTGCGTGTAAATCTGGCATGTGACTTTGATACTGAAGAAATGGCATCAAGTAGACTGAATCTATACTTACCTTGTCTTCGAAATAACTTCTAGCACAATTTTTTCCATGTAGTTAAAAGGACGTAGGTTTTGTGAGAACCATTAGTTCACTATTTGGGCTTTTCGTGAAAAAAAAATTCGCTCAGATTGCAGCTATGAGCGTGTCGGTACACTGGTAGCTTCATTTCTTTCTGCTTCTGATGTAAAATTGTTTGTCAACATTGCTAGATACCTGGTTATAATAGCTCTTCATACATACTTATATACTATATAACAATACCGAAATCAAGTAACGTCATAAAATTATGCTCCAAGCATAATGCTCTTATACGTAGATAATATTGCGAGCACCTCATATGTGCGTATCGCTTTACCTGCGACCTACTTTTTCGTGGCAAAGATTGTAGGAACGCTGCTACATCTCGAGATCGAGAGCTCAAGCGATGCAGTGATACACAGGGGTTGATCCGCGAAGGAATAAGATCCGCGACAGACACACGAGAAGCGTCTGCAAATATGTATCTAAGCTTTAAGGGTAAATGTACGGAGAAATCTATGATGTGAGAAATATGTCTAAAAGGTGCGTAGAATTACCGGATTTCGAAATGTAATATAAACATCAAAAAATTGCGATACGTC